TCAGAAAATGAACTCCCTTCTTACTTCCCTGTGGGTGTCCAGCCCCCACCCACCCCCCGCCAAGCTAGCCCCTGGACATCCCACGGTCACTACCTACCTGCTGAACAAGGAGTTAGTTGTAACTTCAATGCTCTCTGAGTCTCTGCTTAAAAAACAATGTTTTCCCCAGCCCTGGCCAAGGAGCTCAGTTGGTTAGAGCATCCTCCTGATATGCTAAGGTTCTGAGTTTGATCCTTGGTCAGGGCACATACAAGAATCAACCAATTATTGCATAAATAAGTGGAACAACAAATAGATATTTCTCTCTCTCTCCCCCCCCTTCTCTCTCTAAAAATCAATTTTAAAAATGAATTAAAAAAAGAGGACACACTCTTTGAGACAGGCAGACCTGGTTGCAAATCTTGGATCTGCTACTTACTCTTCTTACTAGGTATGTGACCTTGGGCAAGCACAAGCACGTTAACCTCTTGGAACCTCCGCTTCCTGGTCCATAAAATGGGTCAATGAGATAAGATAATATGAGATAAGATAATGTGAGAGAAGGCAAACAGGGCTTGGCAAACACTTAAGAGTTGTGCCATCAGTACTTCTGAACTGTAGTGTAGCCCACCCTGGAGGCCCTGAAATCCCCACCCCTCTAAGGACTCATGACTTAGCTCCAGATGCTCCCACACTCCCCTCCTCAGTATTGCCCAGATTCCTGAAAACAGTCTCTCAGGAGGAACCATTAAACTCACCCGGCACCACCTCTCCCACTCACCAGGGACTACTTTACATCATAACACATAAAAGTAATTACAGTAATTGGCTCCCACAGCACTTTCCATCCCTTGTCCCTTTTGACTCTCCCAGCTGTGAGGAAGATGGATATTACTTTCCTCCCCATCTTACAGAGGGGACAATTGAGGCAGGGTGAAGGTCCACGAAAGGATCTGAGCGTGGCCCTGCTTCTGAATCTCCTGTGCTTTCTTGTGCGCACAAGTCTCAAGCAGTACTCCGAGGGACAGCCTTGCTGAGGTGAGAAGGAGGCATGCGTGTGCCCCACGGATGCGGCTGGGAAGTCCTCAGCACACCTCTACAGGCACTTGGTGAGCAAACAGGTACACGTTAGGAAATGCAGCGTCTGGGGATGTCCTGAGGCCACAGCAGCCCACTCTGATGCTAATGAGAGTTAGAGGGCAGAGTGGGCAGAGGAGGAGGTCTGGGCCTTGGCCACACGTGGGCAGCTGACATCCCAAGTCACCTTGGGCAAGTTTCTGAGGTTTCCTTGATCCTCACTTTCAAAATAAATGGCAAAAAAATGATAGGTAGATAGATAGAAGCTCCGTTTAGGCAAAAAGACATCTGCAACTCTCATCATCATTACTTTGGCTTTGAAATCGACAGCTCAGAGACCCCCCACCACTTTAAAAAATTTTAAAGACAAAACAGTATAACTTAATAGTTCTGCCAACTCTTAAAAAAAAAAAAAAAAATCAGTGGAAAATATCCTTGGGTGAAGATTTTTTTAAAAAGTCTCAAGTGTATGAAGAAATTTCAATTGAAATGCCACAGGTGAGAGCTGGCTATGTCATAGAAGATTTTCAGGCAGAAATTGCAAACCATTGATATCTAATGTAGAAAATCTTGATGAGGATATTATTAAATGTTTTGATTTNAAAAAAAAAAAAAAAATCAGAGTACAACACTGATTTTTTTTTTTTCTTTTGTCTCTCTTTTTTTTAATTTTGGCAAAGAAAAGATTCAGTTCCTGGAAATGCTTACAAAATAATTCCTGACACTGGGAGGAGATAGTTAAAAAAAGGAAGGAGACTACGACGCCGAAAAGCTATCTATACATATATCGATAAAGGAAAAGGGTGGAAAGAAAGAGACTAAACAGAAGAGAGAGGAGAAAAAGCAAAAAAAAAGACTTTAAAAGGCACCAATTCAAGGAACCTTATCAAGTTCTCAGTATCTGCGATTCACTAGCCGCTCGCGGGTTGGGGCGGCGCAGGCCCCGCCCCTTTCTCGGGTGTCGGGCGCCCATTGGCCGGGGCGGCCGTCGCCGGCCGGTGACTGCCCGAGGAAAGGTTGCCTGGGACACGCATCCCTGTGTGAACGCATGACGTCCCACCCTGGCGCCAGGCTGTCTGGGGCTGAGTCTTAGATCAACACAGCTGTGGGACCGGGACCCACAGCTGGGCAAAGGAGCGGATTCCTCAACAAAAAATAGGATTGTGAGAAAAGTTCTGAAACAAAAACAGTGCAGACAAAAGCCTTAATGACATCCTTTCATAAAAATAAAAAATGCAAGAGGGGGGAAAAAGCTGGTAAAAGGAGCAGAACTGGGAACAGAAAGTTCAGAGGCATTTGGAATAAGAGGCTTGAGGCCCCGCCGCCGCTAAACAAGTTGCAGAAGGCCTGAGCTAGCCCTCCAGTCTGCTGTGGGGAACAAGACGTCTTTGGGGTTCAAACTTCGTTCCGGGTTCCAACCTTAACCTGCTTGTTTCAGAATTAGAATCTTAGATTGGAGAGGACCCTTAGAGGTCATGTGCTCCCCCCACCCCCAATTGTACAAAAAGCGAGGCCCAGGAAGGAAGGAAATTCATCCAGGGCCACACTGGGAGTAATTGGCATGGCCGGGACAGAATTCTGCTTGCTAATCCCACTGCGTCCCTCTCTTGCCTCATGTCATACAGCCCAAAGGCATTTCAGTCTGAAAGCATCTTGGGAAATAATAAATGTGAAGGTGTTTTGAAAATGGCTTTACAAGCCTGAGGAGAACCTGTGAGGACCTGTGGACTGTGCACCTACCACACACCTGGCCTGTGCTGCGTCCCCAGGCACGAAGACGACTAACCGATCTGATGCAGAGAGCATGCCAAGCGCCTTGCAGAGAAGAGACATTCAACAATTATTTGTTGAAGGGATGAGGTTGGTCTAACTAGGTCAATTTTATAAATTAGGAAATTGAGGCACAGAGAAGTGACCTACCCAAAGTTCCCATCATTAGTAAAAGCAAATGGGGATTTGAACATAAATCTGCCTGGCCCTAAAGACCATGATTTTTCCAGAACCTCCTGAGCATGGCCATTTTGCACAAACCGTGGAAATCTGCATGATGAAAAAGGAAAGGGCTTTCTGTTTGGTCATTCAGGAATCCCCATATACACCATTTCCCGTTTCTAAGACCAAATAGCTGTAATGTTCTTCATTTCATGTCTGTAGTATATGTAGACTGACTTGTCCATCCACAGGTTACTTTCTTCCTTTTACTTGAAGAGGCTATCCTTGAAAACACTCATCTCTCTCAAAGACCTTTCTTGGGACACAGCCCTGTGGCACGTCGGCAAAGACTTCAAGTCTGGCTCTGCCATTATTTGTGGTATGACACTGGATATGTTTTATAGCCCCTCTCTGCACCCTTTACCACCCCACACCTGCCTGTCCAAAATCACAAAGCCTTAGACTTCCAGAGTTGGAAAGGATTTAAAATAAGCACTTGGCACCATCTCCCCATTTATTCACAAGGCAAATGAGGCCAGGGTAGCTGGGCTTCTTCAAGGTCACGTGACAAATTATTCGAAGGGTTGGGGTGTTGAACCTAAGGCTCCTGATTTCCAGTCCCATATCCTATTTTTTCTATGACAATTTTGAGACTCTCCTAGCTCTGAGCTCTCATTGTCCTGCCAGTCGGTGCCACATACTATAGAACTCTTAATTGCTTCCTGTGTTAACCTCAGTCTCCCCAAATTGTGAGATTCTTGAGAGCAGGAGCCACTGCTTCCAACTGATTAAGGAAGCAACCACTGGGGGATCCCACTTGGTTGGTGTCAAGATGGAAACCAGCATTTTAAGGCAGCCAGTTCCCAAAATTTGGGGGAAGTGATAAGAAGACCATCGAAGGATACCGAATGGAATGCCCTGTTGCAATACAGGGCTTAACTTGCCTGTTCTCTGGTCCCTTTCCTGGGCTTTCAGATAGAGCTAGAGCTATTTCAGCAAGTCCAAGAATAACCAAGTCCAGGTGGCCTGCCCTTCCACAGCAGAAAGGGATAGACAATAGAGCTGTGGTGTCACCAAACTATTGTGTTTCTGCATGGAGGTGTTTGGGGAGTGGGGAGAAAGGCTAACTCCATGGGGGGGGGGCTCCTAAAAAGGCTATATAGAAATCATCCCGTCTGTCACGCCCCCCCTCTATTCAAAACCTGGTCCAAAATTCTAATCAAACTCACTTCCAAAACATCACTGGGCATATAGTTGGCTCCTTGTGGAGTGCATGGGGCCAGAGGGTGGGAACCCTTTTCCTTCCCTGTGCAAAAAGCACCGATTCAGACTCCTTTTTTTTTTTTTTTTAATTTCTTTTCCCCTGTTGCTCAAGTAGTGTTTTTTGCTCAAACCCTTTCCCCCCTCCTCCTCCTGTAATCTCAGCGCCTAGCCCAAATCTGTTTTCTTCATTGTAACCTCAGCTTCACCGCAATTAATTTTTTTCCCCTCTGGTCACAAGATAATTCCTGACGCCAGTGAGTCTGGAGGTCAGACAACAGCAAATTGGGGAACAAGGCGGCACTAATTCCTTACAAGTTTCCCTTGAAAAAAAATCTTTTGCCTTTAAAAAAGAAAGAAAGAAAGAAAAGCTTCTTTGGCTGTTCAGGGATTTATGACCTCGGAGGAGCTGTGGGTTCGAACTAGTGTTGGGCTGTGGGTGGACCGGCAGGGGGGCAGGGGAGCTCAAAGATCTGGGGCGCTGCCAGGAAAAGGCAAATTCTTAAAGTTAATGGTTTTAAGTGATTTTTGAAATCCTCGCTGGCAAAGAGGCCCGCCTCTCCCCAGTATCAGCGCTTCCTCATTCTTTGAATCCGCGACTCCGCGGCCGCCGGCGTCAGAACGGCCGGAGAAAGCCTGTTTGCAATTTACCCGCGCCGCGGCCGCCCAGGGCTGGCGGGGGCGGGGCCGAGGCGGGCTGTTTAGCATAAAGGGGCGTGTCTCCTCGCGGGAGCTATAAGTAGGGGCCGAGGCAGGCTCGCGAGCCTGNCCAGCCGCTGCAGGGTCTCCTTTGGTTCTCTCGTCCTCCCGGCGCTTCCAACCGCGGTCCTCAGCATGAAGGCGCTCAGCCCGGTGCGCGGCTGCTACGAGGCGGTGTGCTGCCTGTCGGAGCGCAGCCTGGCCATCGCGCGGGGCCGCGGCAAGGGCCCGGCCGCCGAGGAGCCGCTCAGCCTGCTCGACGACATGAACCACTGCTACTCGCGCCTGCGGGAACTGGTACCCGGCGTCCCGCGAGGCACCCAGCTTAGCCAGGTGGAAATCCTGCAGCGTGTCATCGACTACATCCTCGACCTGCAGGTGGTCCTGGCCGAGCCCGCCCCTGGACCCCCAGACGGCCCTCATCTTCCCATCCAGGTACGCGTGGGCGCGCGCGGGAGCCGGGGTGGGACTGAGCTCCAGGGCTGGGATGCTGCTGGACCCCGGTCGAACAAACCCCTAAGTGCTTGCATAACTCTCACCCTCTTTTCCTTCGCTTTCAGACAGCCGACCTCTCTCCGGAACTTGTGATTTCCAACGACAAGAGGAACTTCTGCCACTGACCTGGCTGTCCTGGCGCCTCCAGGTGAGTATCCCCACCTTCTCGGAGGGGGTGTGTGTGTGGGGGGGGTGGCGCGCGGTGGAGCTTAACCTGTAAATCTTGGAGTTGGTAGGCGTTTTAAGGGATTACCACCCCCTCTGTTTAGAGAAACCGAGGCCGGAGAGGGGCAAGTAACTTGAGCCCAGGGGTCATAGCAAATGAATGACGGGAACCAGTTTTCATCCCGTGCGCGTTGCGTTTGGCCGCTGCCCTCCCCCAGCGGCCAAAGCCCCAAGAAAGTCGGCGCAGGTCCGCCTAAATAGCCGTTCTGTTGGCGGTTCGGAGTCGTAAAGGGAGCTCTGTCTTCCGCGGCCCCCTCCCAACCAGTGTCAGTTCCAAGAGGGAGGGGTGGTGCAAGCTCCGCCTGTGGTCCTTTGGCGCCAACTGGGTGGGGGTAGCGTGGGGCGCGGAGTTATCAGCTGGAGGTAGAGACCAAGTTTCCTCCCTGGCGCCGGCCAGTCTGCGGACGGCCCCCGCCTCGGCGCGCTCGGCGGAAACCGACGGCTCTCTGGTCTTCTTTCCTCCCCCGCCCAGAACGCAGGTGCTGGCGCCCGTTCCGCCTGGGACCCCGGGACCCCAGGACTCTACGGCCGGAAGCCCGAGGGCATGGATGGGCCCTAACCTCTCCCTGCCCACTTCACTTCCCAAACCCCTGCCTCGAGGCTGGACCTGGCGCCCGGGAGCGAAGGACTGTGAACTTGGGTGGCCTCAAGAGCAAGAGCTAGCTCTGGGCACCAACTGGGCAACCCAGCTCCACCCCACCCCCAGGTTTTAAAGACTGTCTTTCAGAGTGTGGAGGGGTATGTGTGGGGGGAGAGGGGCTGCTCTCCAGACTCTGCCAAGGCAGCAGTAGAGCTGGTCTTCTGGTCTCCTCGGAAAAAGGCTCTGTTGCCCTGATTATGAACTCTATAATAGAGTATATAGCTTTTGTACCTTTTTGCAGGAAGGTGACTTTCTGTAACCATGCGATGTATGTTATTAAACTTTTTATAAAAGTTAACATTTTGCATAATAAACGGTTTTTAAACACTTGTGTATATAATTTGATTCCTTAAGTGCTAACACTCACACAGCTGAATTTAGGGGAAATATATGTTCTTAGAGCCCAGGGAAAACCAACAGTTATTTCCTTAAAAGGGAGATGGGAAAATGCCCAGCTAACACTGGGGTGGGGGCGGGGGGAGGGGAATAGAAAGGGCTCAGGAAGAGAGCCCTACATCCATTGAGGGTTGGGTGCAGAGAATATCCTGGCGGTGGCTCATTTCACAGGTGAGGGAAGAGTGGGGAAGGGGAGGTGACTGGCACAAGCTCACCCAGCAAGTTGGAAGCTCAGGTTAGAAATCCGGTCTAAGTCCCAGTTCTTAAGTCCCTTGGGCTTTTGTGCTACACTAGCAGATGGCAGTCCTCAATTTAATTATTCATGTCTTTCTAGCAGGGGATGTGGAAGAGTGGAGCCTCACCTGGTGCCCAAAGAGGGGTGATGGTTCATAGACCCACTTTAAAGATGAATGAACAAGTCACTGGGTCTGGTTTCATTTCCCTCCTCAAGCTCCCAGGTTTGGCTTCCTCTCGGGCTTCCAAAATTGGGAAACAGGAGAGAGGGGTCTCTTCCCTCAAATCCCTAGGCATTCTGATCAGGATTTTGGTGCTGGTTGGGAAATACTGGCACTAATCCCTCCTCTGCCATCAGGTATTTGAAGACTTTGACCCTGGACTGGGAATTGGAGCAAGAGGCCCTACAGCCTCATTCCTTCTGATATTTTCTTCCCAAACATCTCTGTTGGGAGCCTTCTCTGTGAGCAAGCATCTTTATCCCTACTTCAGAAGTGGAGAAACTGAGGCTCAGTGGAGAATGGGTCTGAGCCAGATTATTACAGCCCCTTGAGAGGCAGAGATGGAATTTTAATCAGCTACAGTGACTAACGTGACAGGAGCAGGGCCTGAGACCCCAATCCATGCCACTTTGCCCCCTACCTGGCAGCTCCCCAGGTGGGTTCCACAGGCATCTGGCCTCACAAGATTCCTGTTTATGATATGATCTCATCTGTGTGTTGGCCCCTGGCATGAATTAGTTCAATATTTCATAACAAACAGCTCACGTCATTACCACCCTTAACCCTGGTGAGCTTTCAGGGGTGAACAGGGGCATATGGTGGGGAAGGCAATCAACCTATCTTTGCCAGGCATCCTCCCAGCCCACCAGTGGTTCTCGATCTGTTTCCTAGTCTCCTCTGATGATCTGATGGGAGGTATGAACACTCTTCAGAACATAAAACAAATATACACACACAACTGCAAAGCAACCCCCTGGAAAGCCCCCAGTCTTCATATGCGGAACTCTTGCTTCAAACCAAGAGGTACAAGACTGGGTCTGTCTACCTTGGATCATTAATTAGGTGTGCTGTGCTGGCTCTGGAGACAGCCACACAAGGGTGCAAATTTTTTTGCTCTGCCACATAATAGCCGTATAACTGAGCCTCAGTTTTCACATCTGTATAAAATTGCTGACCTTGAGGATACAGTTCTGCAGCATCTGGCCCCACATTACACCATTAATTGCAGTAGAGCCAGGCACTGAACTCAACGTTCTGTACCCTTCTTGCTGCTTCTTGCTTGCTCAAGTTGTGGGGTTGTGGAAGGCCAGAAAGAGCAAGCCACTTCCCCTCTCCAAGCCTCTCTCCGCCGTTGCCCAGCAGCTGGTGGTTCTTGCACTGCTGCCTCCCTGGACAGAAGATGGTGGTGGGAAAGTTCTTTGAAATGCATCACACACCTACAAGGTATTATTAAGCTAATTCCAAGGAAATTGCCTGTTAGATCAGCTGAGACTGGGCTGTTCAGGTGGCTGAGACAAAAGCTGAAACCAGCACACCAATTCATTAGTCCTTAGAGAGTGAAAGCAATTTGGCCCTAAGGTCAGAAAACTCTCAGGAAGAGGATAGTGTCTTCTGTCAAATCTCGTATCCAGTGCCTACCAAGTGCCAGGCTCTATTTTATCTTAATTTTTTTCTAATCATCACAATCCAGAAAAGTATCATTCTTTCCATTTTACAGAGAAAGCAGATCCAGAGAGGCTGAATAATTTGATCCAGGTCACACAGCAAGGATTAGTAAACCCATCTCCATCTAGCTTCAAAGCCCATGTTCTCACCTCCACGCCCCGCCAGCTCTTTTCCCTCGCCATTTCCCCGGCCAGGCACATATTTGGGTCTCCAGCGGGTGCTTGCTGAACAAAAGACCTAAGGCCACCCTAGGTCTCCCTTTGATTTGTAAAAGGGCGATGAAGGTGCCTCCCTTGCAGATTTGTGGTTCAGATGAAAGATAACGCGCCTAAAGCATCTACCCGGCTCCCTGAAATACAAAGTTCACTGTTAACCGCGTGTCTTAACACGCATTATCGCATCAGCTCTGATATGCGGACATTTGGAAGGAATTTTTTACTTTGTGAAAAAACAACAACACAGGCAAAGTAACTTGCCCGTGTCCACACAGCTCCTAAGCAACAAAACAGGGATTCGAATCCAGGCCTGCGACAAGGGAGATGGTGGTGCCCCCTCGAGAAGACCAATGACAGCTCTTCCCAGGTCGGGGGCGCCGCACAGCCATCAGTTATCTGTCTTCCCGGCCTCATCACCTCTCACGGCCACCCCTCTTCTCCATACCCCAGGCTACACCCTAAAACCTCCCGTCGCTCTCTTTCCTGCAGAGGCGCCTTTCAGGGTCCCCTCCGCCTGCTCGCGGCCCAGGGAGAAGAGC